TCTACCAAAAGACAAAAATAAACGAGAGCTTCACTTGTTTATAATGATCGAAATTATTATTGTCATCAATAAAACTATGAGTGTCATAATTAAAATAAAATATTGTTTTATTTTCCTTAAATCTTCCTCAAAAGTGAAGGAGTGGGTGTGTCGGTTGCCCGCGGGAACCATATTGATTGGGGGGGTGGTAAAGTAGTTAGTGTGGTTTTTTTTTTTTTATAAAAGGTAAGGAGAAGATAAAAGCGAGATTTGTGGTAAATCGGGAGAAAAATCCGCCTTTCATAGAGGTTTATCCGTAACTATTTTGTACAACTGTAAAATATTATATAATATTCTATATACTGGAAAAACTTGTAAGGTTGTAACTGAAATATAATATTTAAAATCCTAAAAATGTACCATACTAAGAATGCAAGTCGTAGTAGTCCGAGAGCCCTTATATCTTATAAAGATTTTGGGGTCGAAAATAGAAAAAAAAATATAAAAAGTACGTAAAAGAAAGAAAAAATAATAAAGGCTACATCTTTTGTTTCAATTGTAATCTACATGCATATAAGGCACATATTGAAACAAATTTATGCAAGTACTAATAATTATAAGTATGTAGCCTGAAATTTATGCATGATATCAATACAAATAGGAAAAAATAAGGGGAATAGCATCAATTTTCCATTATTAAACAAACAAACAAACAAACAAAAAAACTTGTCACCGATATTCTTGTTACCGAATGATATTTGCACAATTTATGTAATTTCTTTTGTAAAATAAGTGTTTGAGTTTCTGGTATAAAGGATCCCAAATATGGACAAGTATAGAGCATACTACTCAAAACATTTTATTAATAGTTGATACTTTCATTTCTAAATTTTGCTATGAGTATAATTGAGTAGGAATTTGGTGCTGATAATGTGTTGAAAAATATGAGAAATTCAACTGCTGAATTGAGAATTTACTTTTACATCGGCTACATATATATAGCCATAAGCAAAAACTATAATAGAACGATTTTCTTATACATATGTACATGCAAGAGCCACAAGGCTTTGTACGCATTTAAGCATAGTGTTATCAGATCAAAGTGGCTACTGGACATTCATATTGGACTTATCGTTTTAGGTGTTTTTGGTCCCTCGGAGAGTTACAATACGGAGTATGCGCACCTGACTTCTGTACCTGCAAAACCACGAAACTCCGGTTGGGTGGAGTTCCGCCTCCGAAGATCAAGTTAGTATGATTCCGGATGGGAAAGCGTGCGGAAAGGAAACAGGTATTTCTCACTGATTCAGAGAGATTGCGCAATTAATATTGCTCGGGTTTTGTGTATGTATTTATGAATAGATCATAAATGAGGATTTTCCCCCTATTTATAGTGGGGGAGGCATGTTCCCTGATTAGGGTTTTGATGACACGTGTCAGCATTCGATTGGATCCCATTAGGCCTCTGGTGGGCTGCCACGTGTCATGATACTACTGGGCCACGTGGCATAGGGTATTTTTACCCTAAACACTTATCTCTCAACAAAAACTTTATTTCCTCACGAGTGGGGGACTAATTTTTGTTCTCTATTATTTCTCCTCATGGGCATTAATTAGTGATAGTGCTCTTAGAGGCGGCAATCAGGTCATTCAGTTTTGTTCAGATTTGAGCCAATTCATCGTACGCTAGATAAATTTTCGATTTATTGCTAATTAACTTATGATCAGAACTAAATCAATCTTAACCATATTTTTTAACGTCACCTTAATTACTTTTCAATCCATCAATAATAACATAACATAATAGTAAAACAGACACCAGGAATGACACGTGTCACTTTTTGGTGCTGTTTCTTCTCTCCAAAACTCCCCCTCCCTGTTTAGAAAAAATATTTTGTTTTTGGAATATTTTATATTTGTATATTAAAACTATAATAATATTATTCCTAATCTTATATATTATCTTTATAATGATTGTATTTCTTTTTATTTCGTGTTCTATTTACTTAAAGTAGTTACATAAGATTTTGAGACCTTTTAATTAAGGGAGAATAAGCTATAATTTAGAAGGTTGAAATATGGTGGAGAATATAAAATAACGGAGCCAAAAATACAATATTAACATTTAAATTACCATTATATATAGTTGTACAATAGTGGGGTTTAATGGAGGGAAAAAAAAGAATAAAAAGAATTTTTTTTTTTTCTATTCATGATGTTAATTTGAAATCTTATGAACCAATCATAATTGAATTAGTTTTCTATTAAATATTTGGACTAATACAGTCTTTTAATCCCAACTTTCACCAATTTACTTTCATTAATCTCAACTTTGGATTATTCCTCAATCCCAACTTTAAGGTGGTCTATCTTTCTTCATACCCAAACCAGTCAACAAAAGTCAATGACCTAATTTTCTAGGTCACATGACACGGTCAAGCTGTAAGTGGTCCAAAAAATAAAAGAAATTAAAGAAAAAATCAATTAACAAAAAAAGGAAAAAAAAAAATATCAAAACCAGCCACCACCAGCCCACAACCACTGGCGGTGGCCCCTTCCTCCACAACCAACCCCGAACCACTGCCTCCCTAGCCTCAACCCCCAAAATCTCCCTAGAAGCCGCCCTAAACCCGCGAAACCGGCCCCCTCTACCTCCCCTCACCCCCTAAACCAGCCATAACCAAATCCTTGCGCTGAAATCGCCACCCACAAAACCCGAAACCACCCTTAACCAAAGCCCACGTCTCTGAAACCGTCCGCGTCCCCTCCCCCCTCCCCCCACCCCTGAAACCACCTGTAAACCCTCGAAATCACCTCCCCACCCTCGAAACCACCTAAAAAAACGCAGCCCGCTTCCTTTCTCTCTCCTCTAATTGCCGGATAACGCAATCAACGAGAGTGATGGGAGGGTTTCCGGTGCAAGGAGGGTTTTCGGCACGTCAGAAAAGTGGGGTTGGGGGATCATAGAGGGTAACGGGTGTGGGTCTTGGCTCGAGGAAGTGCGGCCACCAGTGTTGGGTGGCTGGTGGTCTTAGGTTTTTTTTTTTCCTTGTTTTTTGTTTTTTTAACTTAAATTAATTTTTTTTTATATTTTTGAACCAATTAGAGTGCAACAAGTGTCATATAATTTGTTTTAAAAAAAATTGACCTTTTCTTCAGGTAACCAGTAAACCGGATTGAAGAAAGAAAACGCTAGTGAAAGTTGGGATTATTGCAGAATAATCAAAAGTTGGGATAATTCAAAATAAATCGGCCAAAGTTGGGATTATAAAAGTGTATTTCCTAAATATTTTCGTGATAACTTACCAACTTACAACTTTTTTTTTCCTTCAAAAAATTTATTAACTATTACTAAAACAGGTCATGCTTACATCGATCATTTTGGACATATGTCAAGCTATCATTAAAGAATTCCCGAATACAATATATGACGTCAAAAGTTTTTTTTTTTTTTTTTCCTTAAAAAAATATTGTACTTATCTTATTTTTTAGAAGTATATTGTATAACTTTTTTTCTGAACTAAATTAATTCTTAAAAAGTCATACGACATCCACATTGTATAATTTATTGGGAATAACATGCATCATTAATGTAATATAATATATACTATTTTTAAATATTTTTAACACAACTTATTAACTAATCAACAATTTTTTTTTTCTCAATTGTAGTTTTATAATTTTTACCTTATTATTTCATTTTTCTTATATGCGAAAAAAAATTATTACCGTGCATTACCGTGCATCGTACGTTCATTAATCTAATTTCAAATAATAGCTTAGTTATGCAACAAATTTTTTAAAAAAAAAGAGAGAGAGAGAGAGAAAACGGCCAAAGGTGAATCCCAAAATGCAAATCCAAATGCATTGCAAAAGATAAACAATTTGTGGATTCTGAATGACACATCTTCCATTCCCTTAACCCATTTTGTCCGTTTTTAACCCAGGTTTGCACCCTTTTCTTGGAAATTCTCTTAACTACGAAGTATTATAATACTCTTACATTTTCTTATTCTTTAATCTTTTTCCACCCCTTTGGTTATCTCTGCTTAACATCAGACTTTGAATCTGCTTCTGCTGTGAAATTAGACTCTTCTGTTCTGTGAGTTCTACTAAACTTTTCCAATCCCAATAACTTTTTTTATTGAAATTGAAATTTTTAGTCAAACCCCATTTGATATATCCATTGTTATAATCTAATCTTTCTGGGTTTTTGTTTTTGCAGTGTTTGAATGGAGATCGATAAAGCAATTGGAGATTGCAATGATCAAAGGTTGAAAACTAAGTATAACAACGCTGTCTATGTTATTCAGAGAGCTCTTGCTCTTTACAAGTATGTCCTTTTTTTGATTTCATTTTAGAACTTTTGATTTCTGATTTCATGAAATTATAAATGGTATTTTGTTATGATTTTCTTGTTGTATGAATTCTTAACTTCCCTCCATTACAGCATTGAAGAGGTTGCTTTCAGCTTCAATGGAGGAAAAGATTCAATTGTAGGTTCTGCTCTCATAAACCAGAGAAAAGCACTTATCTCACCTTTCCTTTATTGATGTTAACAATGCTATAAATTGCAGGTTTTGTTGCATCTTCTAAGAGCTGGGTATTATCTCCATAAATTGGAGCAAGTAAAGCATGATGAAGATCTTGGATGTAATCAATCCAAATTTCCAATTAGGACAATATATTTTGAGAGCCCTTGTGCTTTCCCTGAAATAAATTCATTCACATATGAAACAGCTGCTATGTAAGAATACTTTTATCAGTTTATTTTTCTTTCTTTGTAATAATATTGGTGACAAATCTTATTAGTTTTACTACTGATGTTTTGAGCAGCTATAATTTGCAATTGGACATCCTTCGTCAGGATTTTAAATCTGGTCTGGAAGGTTTGTTGAGGACTAAGCCTATAAGAGCCATTTTTCTCGGTGTCCGTATAGGTGATCCTACCGCGGTATGGCATAATAGATTGCTGTTTCTGTAAATAATGTTTGTAATTACGAGAAATAACAATTGCTTCTTTATTGATATTGCTATTTGATACTGAATTTCTACTTAGTAGTTCACATTGAGATGTGAAAATTGATGTTTTATTATGGTATATCATGTTGCAGGTAGGCCAAGAGCAGTTCTCTCCTAGCTCTCCAGGATGGCCACCATTTATGAGAGTGAACCCCATCTTAGATTGGTCTTATAGGTCTGAAAATACTCTATTGTTGTCTTTATATCGAAAGATCGTTTCTTGGATCTTCTGTGAATTTAATGGGAATTAATTTCCACATGCTATTGTCTTGTTGTCAATTTGGAAGAATGTCTTTGGCATGTTTACAATGTCTTTTTTGTTTCATTGGAGTTCTTTTAATCTAATGTTTCTGATAAACCTTTGACAGAGATGTATGGGCGTTCCTACTAACATCCAAGGTACCTTACTGCAGCCTTTATGATCAAGGGTAATATTTCCATCTTATACTGAGCTTTATGCATTTTAGTTGATGCTGTTTGTCAAATATCTATATCTTGATTTTTATTGTAGTTGGAATGTAGGATAAGCATCATCCTGCTTATTTTTGCTATGCCTATGCCTTATTCAGTATGAGTTCTAACGTGCATATATTTACTGTTTCATAAATTTCCTCTGGCAGCTATACTTCCATTGGAAGTGTATATGACACAGTTCCAAATAGTCTTCTGTCTGTTAGTAATCCCACTAGCGGTAAAGTGGAATATAGGCCAGCGTACATGCTTGCAGATGGAAGATCAGAAAGAGCTGGGAGGACAAGGAAATCTAAAGTAGCTGACAGTAGTATTTCTCTTAGCAATGGAACAACTGATGTGGAATCACAACAAACTTGTATTCCAACAGCATCAGTTATTGGTGTCGGGGATGAGATTCTGTGAGTCCTTTGTTTTACGTTGTAAAATTGTAGGTGCTGATTCTGGACTGGTATTTTGCTTGTTTCTATTTTCTTAATATCCTGATTTACTTGCTTACGCTTTGGCAGTGTCTTTTTGTACATTGCTTCTTACTAAGAGATCACCTTTATATTTAATTTTATCTGCTAGTATTTATTTTAAAGCTTAACCTTTGTTAGACTTATTATAACCTTTTGTTTACTTCCTTCTGTGAATTGTTGATTGTTTGTTTTATTTTCTGTTTGCATATCTGGTGTGTTTGTATGTGCCTTTTTATTTTCTGTCATCTTTACGGTCCACTACTATCTGTAATAAGGTTGCTTGGACATAGAAAAGAATACACACTCTCACACATTCGTGCACACGCACAATCATTTGATGAGAATATCATTGTTAAAATGGAACTATTTTACGAAGTTCTTCCATAACAATATTTTCTGGTGATTTTTCAGCATTTAGTTCCTTTGCGTGTAGGATTTTTTAGTTGCACCCTTTCTATCATCCCACTTGCCACCAAATTACTTCTACCATTAATACTTTAAATATCATTAAGTAAAAATAATATAAAAAGTTGATATTTTTGAAAGTATATGCGGAGATGCATCCAACAAGATCTCACATGACTAATATTATTTTTAACTGTAAATTATTAAAGATAGTCAAAGTAGAATGTGTTAATAGCTATGTATGAAGATGTGCACAGGCTATGATGCACTCAGTGCATGGGGTGGAGTGCTAGAGAGGTGCATTCGAATTGACAAACTTGAGGCGCACAATTCACACACTCGTGTATTACTTGAGGTGCACAACTTTCAATATGTAAATTTTTTTCATATGGCCCTAGAGGGCAAGCTAGTTATCAACCAAAAACATCTATTACAAATTAATCCAATTCTTATTAATCCCAAAATTGTGTAAAACTGTTATATATTCTAGCCCCTTAGCCCTAAAGGAAGCCAGTCAAGCTACCATATCAAACATAAAATATTTCATGTTAAGGTGGCTAGCAAAGAGATATGCGAAGTATGTTTTGGCCAACTACACCAAACACCATAAATTCGTGGCACCATAGCAAACCTGTTTTCCTTGCCTCCTCTCCTCCATCCCATATTGCGTATTTGCAAGTAATACAGAAGAACAAGGAGGAAATCTCAAAGAGCCATCTGATAGGGAAGGACGTGTGAACTAGATTCCCTACTGTCTCCTTGTGAATACTAGTATCTCCCAATGGAGCATAATCCTTATCTTAATCCTATTTATTGTGACATGTGCTTAGCGCTCACACAAAAGCTCCCTCCTGAAGGGGGACCTTAGCTTTCCAGATGAAATTGGCAACAAGATGAGCCCAATATGGGGTTTACTCATAGTTGTGTTGCCAAGGCAAGATTAAATAACTCAGAGAATATCTTTTGGAAAGTCCTTCATGAATCACACTCATTTATTTATTGGAGTCTCCTTCCTTCTCATATGATCTGAGAATTAGCACCTTAAGTTGCATATTAAACTTGCTTTTTTTCTTTTTTCTGTCATGGTAAGCTTTCATTCTTAAGTATGTAATCTAGTGTTGAGCAAGATAAAAATGATTGGATTTCATTTTTCTTAAGTACCGAATGCTTTTACTCTAGCAAACTATTTAGCCAACCCAAAGTAGTTGGAATATGGGCTTGATTGGTAAGTTTACTTGCAGTATGATAAATTTAAGTAGGTTTTGTAATTGACCTATCTGTGTTTTATCATAAATTATTGGTTTCTTCTTTCTTTCTTTTTTTTTTTTTTTTTCTCTCTCTCATGTCCTTTCATATTGTTTTGTTGTTTATTGGGACCAGAGAATTGTATGTATGTGATCCTATTTTGTTTGTTCGGCGAAAATTGAGTACTCCCTTTATTTTACCTAGACTTTTCTTGTTGACAAATCATGCATGTTAGGAAATGCTAAATTTAATCAGTTATATCATGTTTGATTGAGTTACACATTGATTGCAAAGAGTAATGGCACCTATCTAGGACAGTCTATTTGAAGCATCCCCAGACAAAAAGGAAATTGTCAAGGCGAAGTGAAAAAGCTGTAGCTCAACTTTTGGACGGATGTTTCTTAGTAAATTTATCCCCCCCTTTCCCCTCACCTGATTTTTACTGATATAACTGATTTTATATAGATAAACCTATGTTTCCTGATTGAAACTGAATTTGTCAATTGAAACTGATTTTCTCTGGTTAGATTAATTTATATTTTTATACTGATACAATTTGTTGTATGCGGTTACTAATATTTTTACTTGATAAAACCGAGATTTACTTAATAGGCCTAATATATTAAAACGGTATGAGGGTGTGACCAGTAGCAGGTAAGCAGAGAGTAAACTTATGACTCAAGCAAGCTGCTATTAAGTGACTTGGCTGTCAATAAAAAAGTGACACTGTAATATATTTCTTATTAACCTCTATGTTCGGGCATCAAAATTTTGTATATTTGAGATTCCAATGTCAATAATTTGATAGTGCAGGCTTGGCAAGGTTGAGGATCTCGTGGGACCATCATTGTGCAAAAAACTTCATTCCATTGGTTGGACAGTGACACAATTCGATGTCCTCCGAAGTGATGTAAGTGACCAATCCCTAATTTATATTTTAATTGGCAAGAACAGATTTCTTGATTTTGGATCTAGAGATTAAGGCCCTGTGTTCTCACCTTATTTCCACTTTTTCAAAGGGAAAATAAGTTCAAATAAGGTTAATAAGTTTAGCTTAGATAAGTTTAAGAAAAATATGTTCAAATAAAGGAACACAAAATAAGCTTTTATAAAGGTTATCCAAGTTCAATTGACAACCGAAATAAGTTTTAAGAAAACATTTTCCCAACATTTTCCTTCCTTTTTGGCGCCTAGTTCCCCCTTCTTTATATTCCTTTCCACTTCCCTCTTTAGATTTGACTTCTCCTCATCTCTCTCCTTTGAGCCCAATTCCTCCATTTTCCTTCTTATTTTGTACAAAGTTTGTGCTTTGAACAATGATTAAATCTTTGGCTGAATCCCAACGCTATGTTTACTTAATTGAACTGTAATTTCCAATTTGCTCACTCTAGCAATTTGTCTTTCCTCTGAAGCCACCTTCCTTTCTCACTCCTTATTCAAATAATGAATGAATGTTCCTCTCCCTCACAAACAAGCCTCAAATATTGGGATTTGAATTTGCAGATCATTACAGTTTGCAAAGAATGAAGTTTAAAGCAAAACCAACAAACAATTCCTCCCAATCTCCAGAAATTTCTACGTTTAGCTTTAGCCCTTAAACAACCCCTGTATACCCAACCCTAGAATCAACCCTTAAGGAGAAGATTTATGAAAAAACCTATGTCAGTAAAAATTAGTGATTGAAGGTCTTTCCATGCTGAAGTCCACCTGATCAAAACCCGATGGTTAAATTAGGTAAAGATGGAGCATTTCGGCAGCATATGAATAAATTATGAAAATTTATCTCTGATAAGAAATAGGGTAATTTTTATTAGAAGGAAAAGAAGAAAGTTTTTTATTTTTTATTTTTTTATTTTTTTAACTCAAGGGGAAAAGGAAGAAAGACCACTTGGGTGAAAATGAATCTTAGATAATTAAGGAATGAATTTCACGATGAATTCAAATTTTGGGTAAAAAAGGAGGGTAAAAAGGCAAAAAAAAAAAAGACCAATTTTGTATATTCTAATCAACGCAGGAAATCTTCTTACAACATAAAGTGTTACATAAGAAAATTTCTTTTGACATTTTGTATGAATATCCTGCTGCTGCTTTTTTTTTCCTTTCTGTACATGGAATGGAGTTTTTTCAGATTTCATAAGAAGAATTGAGTGGGAAGGAGTGGGAGAGAAAAAAGGAAAGGGGAGGAAACCGGGTTATTGACATTTATTTTGGGTGGGAAATGGTGATGATAAAAAATAAAGCATTTCAAAATATATCTGGCAATAAAAACCTTGATAACTTATTAACTTTAACTTCTCATTTAAAGAAAAGGTCTTTTGGAAGAAATTTTTCCTGTCACTTGTTAAAAGTTTGACAAGTGACATAGCAAGGAGGGTATGTATTAATCTGGACGTGCAACGTAAACCATAAACGTTTAAAAATGGTTAATTTGAACGTCTTATGTGCTTTTTTGATGGATAAAAATAGCGCCATTGTGGGCTAAAGCGGCCAGGGCATTCAAGAATTGCTTGAGTGAGGAAATTGATAGGAATCAGGTTCGTTTGTAGTTATGTTTTCAAGTGAGGACTACAAGTCCTCACAAAAAAGTTGAATGGTTGATAGATTTCATCTAGTTCTAATGTTGTTTATAAGCTACAAAGCAATGGTTGCTAATCCTTCATTTTAAATGTTAGTCTGGCTTTTACTTTAATTCTTTTTTGTGTTTCATGTTCACGTAATTGATTTTTTTCAATCTTATTTTTAAATTGACATGCAGATAGATTCTGTTGCTGAAAGTGTTGAACGACAAAAATCTACCAGTGATATGGTAAATATTTTTTGACCTTGGAGTTTTCTAGTGTTGCCCAGTACTGCTACAATTAAATGTGGGTATTGACATCTACTTTAAGAGCCTTATATTGTGTACTAAAAGAAACTGAAAATTTCTTCTAGGTATTTATCTATGGTGGAATTGGTCCGTTACACTCAGATGCTACTCTTTCCGGCATCGCAAAATCATTTGGTGTCCGTTTGGTGAGTTGTGTCACTTGAGTTTAACTTTTGTTGATTGGCAGCTTATTTATCAAACTCTCATTCATTTGTCTTTAATTTAGGCACCTGATGAAGAATTTGAAGAATACCTGACAAGCATAGCGGGCTATCAGTCAACTGGTGACAAGAATGAGGTTAATAATTATGAACATCCTCTCTCTATTTATCTACTCTTGCACACAAACGCATATGTTTGTGTACATACACTTTCAAGGGGGTGTAGACTTTTTAGAAGTTATCATCTATTTTCTATACTATAGCTAAAAGAGTAAGATCTAATATTGGGATTTGAATCTTATTAGAGGCATGGTTTAGGTAAATGTCAGATGGTGTAGAAAGATGGAAGCCTGATAGCTTTCACTTTTGGCGGCACTGATATAACAAGATGAGGTTGCTCTGGTTTGAGCAAGGATCAATATCATTCTAATATATTGCACAATATCATTGTTCTTTAGTAGATGTTAGTCATCAGATAGCTTAGATGAGATGCTCTGTTGTTGGTACCTAATATTCAAGTTTCTTCATTATTCTTTGTAGCTTCCTTAATTTACATATACTACCTCCGTTTCATGTTTTTTGCAACTTTGAGGTATTATTTTTGAGATATAAAATATTCCAAAGTTGCAAAAAATATGAAACGGAGGTAGTACTATGTAGCATTTAAAAGAAGCCATTGGTTAAAACAATTTGTTATAGGTTTACAGAGAGAACAACAGTTTTGAAATGTAAAAATTCTTGCAAATCTCTGTTTTTTTTCAGTGGCTATTTGCACTTCGATGTTTGACTAATTTTGACTATTGCAAACCCTATTTTTCCACCTTAGCTTGTTTTGATTTTATCGCAGAGCACTTGGGGATGGTGGTGCTAATTTGGAGACATAGAGCCTTAATGAATAAGCAGAAATCTTAAAAATAAGTTGGGAATGGAGTTAGTTGATCCAATGACTAAGGTGTATTGCGTAGATCTATTCTAGAAATAAGAATAACTGGTATGAGGGTGGTTGAAGAATTTAAGTCAGGTATCTTTCTGGTTGGTGGCCTGAAAATAGGTCACTCAACAAGATATTATCTGTAGGTCTTTGCTTACAATTGTCTTTTACTGCTGTCTATGGAGAGCTTTTTGCTTTTCGTTACCTGAGATGTTTGAGGGAGGATATCTAGTTTCTATTTCCATTTTTTAAATAGCAGGGGTAGGATGTAGGGGTGTTCAGCGGTTCTGTATGTGCTGCCTTATTAGAAACATATAATATGTGCTGGTTCTGTATGCTTTCGCATCATCTCACATGCATAATTTTATTTCTTCAGATGGCACAACTACCAGAGGGCATCACCGAACTGTTGCATCATGAGAAACTTCCTGTGCCATTGGTATGTGACTGAACACAGTGTTTATTTTCTCACACAGTCCCACAAAGATCCCCAATCTTGCATTCTGCAACAATGAATGATATAATACTCCCTCCGTCCCATAATATAGTTCCTGTTTTCCTATTTTGGAGATCCAAAGTGTTGTTCTTGTTTCTATTTTTGGATGGTATGTAAAGACCATTATACCATCATTTTTTTTTACTTTATTAATTGTACTTCCTAAATTACCCTTGAATTTTCCCCACGCCTTGTACTTTTTTCCAGATCCTCTCTCTAACTTTTGTCTATAATTGTACTTTCCACCTTTTTTTTTATGTACTTCATTCACTTTCTCCTCTCTAACTTTTGTCTATAATTGTACTTTTCACCTTTTTTATGTACTTCATCCACTTTTGCCTCCCGTTTCTTAAATACCATAAAAAAACACAAATAGGAACTATATATTGGGACGGAGGGAGTATTAAATAATAAAAAAAAAAGACTTTCTTCCATTTTCATTTCTTGTCAAATTTGACTGATTGGGAAAAGAATTTCTTGGCATGTCCACAAAAACAAACTTGGATATTCTGAAGTTCTGTACTGATTTTCTAGCTGTTTACGTTTTAATTTGTAGTTGAACTTAGTAATTGTCTAAAGATGGTAAGGATGACGTACCAGACACTACGATCCAACTTGAATTTAACCTAGTGTGTCTGAAATAGGTAACTTGATTTTGTCACAATTCAAGGTTGACTTGATATGAACCAAACCTGACTAAAATGATGATGAATATAATTGCATTTTCACAATAAGCTATTCCATCTGACCCAAATCAGCTGCAACAAATACTAATTACCTAATTGCACTTTGATCCACCATAAAAAGGCTGCCATTTGCTACTTAAATATTACCTGAATTGTGTATAACACTCAGAGAATCTAGTTGCACTGCCTTGTGAATTCGGAAGCTACACTTTGAGCCCTGTCAATTCGAACCTGGGTTCTGCAAGTAAACAAACTTTCATTGGGACTGAGGGAATATTTGACAATGAACTGAAATTTGATACTATCCAGTATATGAATATAATGTACATGAACCAATGCATATAAGCTAGTCAGATTCTTGCCCATATATGATCCTTTTAATCCTCAACCAAAGCTAAGTAATAATCATTGCTAATAAGATACCTTGTGTTTTCCAATTGACATGCAAGTTTCAAATCACCAGAGAGAAGTTAAGGATCCATGGAATTCACTTTTTTTAGCTGAATTCTATCTAGTAATCTCTGTTGGTAATATGTCACTATGTCCTGTGAATATCCTTTTTGGTGTTTCCTGTTGAACTATGTTGTCTGTTTATTTCTTGTTTGCCAAGCTAAAGGTGAGTTAAGGGGGTGTGAACTGTGAAATAAACTTCTGGTGGATTTTATTTGCAGATGAAGTGTCAGAATGTTATAATTCTCATGGCAACAAATCTAGCAGAGCTGGACAAAGAATGGGATTGCTTGATTGAGCTTGCAGCCTCTAGTGGGCTCCTAATGTTGACAAAGCCTTTTTCTTCAAAGTATCTTTCAACTACTCTTTCAGATGTATGTGTAAAGAATTTCTCATTTCCTCTTTACTTTTTGGGAGTAATTTCCTGTGCTAGAAATCTCTTTGCTCTCTGTAGTCAACTTCTTCTGTCCGCACACGCACTACCTCATTTTTTCTTCTTGCTTGTCAGCACCTGCCATTTTAGAAATTATCATAGCTTACCTTAATATTACCCCTCCCTCCCTCATGGGCCTCCCGGCATGGGGCTTGTGTGTGTGTGTGGGGGGGGGGGGGTTTGTGTTGATTTGCATGGTGTTGGTCCTGCAACATATGGAGATTGTTTATGTATTATTGGAAGTGTAGATTGATGTTCCACTGTTTGACTAATAAGAAGCAAATGCACATAATATTGGCCCTGCACTGGAACCACTTTAAGAGAGTGGGATAAGATAACTTAAGCTTCTTTGTGGGCTCAGGTAGCAGGTTTTTTCAAAATTAGTAGGGGAAATTCAGTGGAATTGGGCTTATATTTAATCTTTTTTGCTGTTACAAGGAGCACTTCACTCTGTTAAATTTGTGCTTGCTGCTCATTTAAAAAAATATATTCTTTGTTGAAAAAAAAGGATATTGGCCCTGCAATCCCAAAAACATAAACTGATTTCTCTTCTGTTTGAGAAATGAGTAATAGATGCTCCAGATTTATGTTCTTTTTTTATTACACTTGCATGTCCTTTTATCATATACTTCCATGTTCATGTATGTTGAACTCTAGTCGTTTTGGTATGAACTGTATGCTCTTCCTCTTATATAAACTCTATGGATTTATATGAATGAAGCTGAATACATTCTCTTCTAACTTTATATGCTTTTACTTCTAAGTGTATGTTGAGGGTGCATGATGTGCGTCATGCTCCTGGGTGCATATAATAATTGTTGCGTAGGTTTGAGAATGATATCATTTCTAAATGTTTTACCCGTGCAAAGGATTATTAGATACATATGTGAGGCCTTATGTTAATATGGATAATTGGATTAGTAAATTAGCTTGGCGTCTCAAGCTCTCAAAGTAAAATACTATCAGAAAACAATTTTGACAAGTATGATTAGCACTGATGTTAACTATTTAAGACTGAAGCTGAAGTAAATAGCTCTTCAGAGTTTAACTAGATCCCATTATCTTCAGAAAGTACTTTGAGCTTTGATTCTGACTATTTGCCAAAAAATATATGCAGGTAGAAGTTGCTCAGCCATTATCAGCAATGCGTATTGATTTTCCCGATTTGTTTATTGGTAAAAACTCTATTTTACTATATTGGGAAATCATTGTTTTCTATAACTATCTGAACATTCTTTGTATATTATGTAAAAGGGTGTTATCGGAAGTCCAGGCGTGGGCCTCTTGTGATTACGCTGGAAGGAAAGGTATTTGTATAAGAAACTTTATGATTTTTAGACTTCTGATGAACCATAAAAGTGAAGTGGTTGTATTTGCTATTAACACGCTTTCATTTATGTTAGGACCAAGGGAAAGTGCAATTGGCAACTGAGGCACTCGTGAAGAAGTTTCCTGCAGGGACAATATCTGAAACTATTTAGAGTTAGGATACAAATTATCAAATTCCTCAGGGTCAGAATTCTTTCATTGTTGTTTGCTGTCCGAATATCAAATTTTGGCAGCCGAATTAGCTTCTCATCTTCTAACTACAGTGATTGTGGTAGCAGAATCAATGTTGAGAAAAGCTGAATCCTCTTTCATGACAAGAATAGGGATCAAAGTAGAAGGGCTAAGAAGGTGAAAAGGCTTAAATTATGTTGGGGAAGCCACAAGTATAGAAAATAATGTACCTTACTATATAGTTTTTCAATATTATAATTGTTTTGGGCAGCCAGAAAGGCCCAGAAAGCAGCATCTGATTGATTATTGTGCTATGACGATTATGGGACTGGTAAATTAATTATTCAGTGATTAGAATGCCAACTATAGTGCAGAAACTTTAACTTACATATTTTCAACTGAGAAAGTGGCTTTAATATGAAATTCTTGCAATATTTGTTTGGCGTGGTTTTACTCAAATTACTTCCTCTTTTTCCTTTTCCTTGAATTGTATCATTTATCATGCTTACTAAAGCATAACTTTAACCTTTAACAAATAATACGTACAGAGTAGCATCTTTTATTTCTCAATAGTATAAATCATGAAAAAAGAAGATAAAGTATTATAATATTATTATTTTGTGAGACGATTAAAATGAGATTTCTGATTTTGGCCCTTTTTTTTTTGTTTTTTGGGGGTGGGGGGGGGGGGGGGGAAGGAGATAAGTGTTTTTTTTTTTTTTTTTTTTTTGTAAGTTTAGTCATAGTATAGTTTGTAAATTTTCAATATGATGAATCAAGAAAAAAAGAAGTTACAGTAATATAAATAAGGTCGGAATTGTTCTCTTCAACTTATTTCAGATACTTATTTTAGATTTCGTTTAGATCATAACTAATCAGACCATATTAGAAATATTCAGATTCATTCTCATTTTGGGCGGAACAGATAGACTTGTTAAACAATGACAAGAAGAATTAGACTAGACCTAACCAAATCAGACAATTTTAGATTAGACCAAAAATTTTCAGACTAGACTAGACCAGACCAAATCTTAAAATATTACCTGATCACTTTATTTTAGGTGAAGCGAACAAGTTTAAAGTCCTACTTTATCATATTGAGTGTCAAAATTGTAAATAAATCAAACAAAATGCCCAATTAACATGGTATGTTCGTAATTATATCAACAATTATATGGCCAAATATTTGATAAACTTGTAATTTTTCAATATAAATCACTCCAAGTTTCTTTAAAAAACAAAAAAAAAATAAAAAAAACAAAAAAATTACCCCCAAGAAAATAAGACAAATACATGATGAAATGTTAAATTACCCGTAGTACTTTCTCTAATGTTTGAATTTCAAATTTTGTGACATTATGAGTTTGAATTACACTAAAAATGTGACTATAAGCTCTAGATAGAGAATATTTGTTTAGTAGCTCAAGCCGAGTTGGAGTCCTAAGGCAGCATGGACAAGAAAGAGTGTCATGATCCCACTGCCTAAGATGCCATGAACATTCCTCAGCCCAGGATTTCCCTAACAAAACATTCAAGTGCAGGTATTAATTACATTCGAAAATAAGATGCATTGTACTATCTCATATGATAAATTTCACATCTTCATGGGAGCATAGCACGTGAATTATTAAGTAAATTCAACGCTAGGTGTATACCATAGAAAAAGGTACACCCGAGTGCACAATATATGTGATGAGCAACGAGTACCAATGTATATATTCTATCCGGGTAGCTGAATTAAGACTACATACTAACCTCAAATAGTGTTGGTAAGATAGTTTGTATGGTCAAAAGGGCTAGACCTATAACACCAGTAACAGCATGAGGGCTGCAACAAACCAAACATAGAACAATATTCAGTAACCATTAATCAACAAGACATAAAACAAACAATGGCAAATTGGCAAGCCTTTGATTTGCAAACATTGCTGCAAATGCAAATGACAATGAACACGGACAAAGATGGATGTACCTCTCAAAGATGGGTCTATCTGAGGTTAGCAAAGACGTGACGCCTCCAGTAGCCCCAAGAGCAAAGAAAAAAAAACATTCCTGCCAATAGCTTTGGGTGCAAGTCTTTGGCTTTAGCCTTCTCCTCCTGCAGTAGTGCTTATTACATTATATCTCATCACAGTTATAGAGATCGAGTCAGCTGAGTTACAATATTGATACATAGTATGTTATACTTCAGACATGATATATCAGACAACATTCGGACTAAAAACTTTCCGTAAGAAATAGTGATTGACATACCACATCATCTGAGAAGCGTATGCGGAAACCAAGGTAAGTACCATACCCACCCATTGCGAAAAGCACCACTGCCTATAATTACATCAGTCCACACAACAAATTGATGTGAAATGAAGTTACAAATAAAGGTATCACAATACAGAAGGACAATATTAGTTACCATGTTACCAGGATGACCCCAGTGAACAAGCCAATCTGGAAGGTTCAATGACTTTACAATCTCCACAAATGGTGCAAATGCTGACCTCACTGTTTCAGCTGTGATTCATGGAATAAGTTGTACAAACATCAGACACTAGATTAATGCAAACGACTTTCAATCAATGTGTTACATACTCTTTTTCGGTTCGTATCCATAGCGAGGTACAAAGGGTAAAAAATTTGTCGTAGATGTGATTTAATTCCAAGTCTTAATATCATGCGAATGCGATGCTAATTGGAATCTACAGACAATATATCTAGATTTACATGGTAAACAATGGCTAGCCTTTAGACAGGATTTGATACAGGTCTTGAGTACCACCCCTTAGTCCTTTAACCGGTAAGGTAGTTGATCATTCACTCTTTAAAAATAGTTAAACATTGAATAATTCATTTGAAGTTGGTGACATATCAATATTGATATGAGGTGGGACATAAGACGAGACATACAATCCTACCTATTAAAATAACCCTTTTATCATAAGCAATTCTATTGAAAATGAAGACTTGGAAAAAGAAGTTCACCGTCATCAACATATTACCTCCAGGAAGGGCAGCCAATAGCATCAATGACATAGGATTGAAGGAATAAAGCATAGTTTCATTCTTCAAATCCAATTCTTCGGATTCATAATCTTCAACATCATCAGTACTCATAATTTCTTCATTGTTCCTCTTCTTAACACCAGAGCACATAATGCAATATCTTCTTCTAGTATTAGTAGACAATTTCGACGACATCGAATCCGACGAGCAATGGGTATTGGTATTGGTAGTAACAATAGCAGTAGGAAAGAATGAAGGGTAAGGAGATTTACATGTGTTAGCAACACTTTTCAATGGCAATGTTGCAACGGTATTCAGCATTGCTGCCATTTTTGGTTATTGTTAGTTGTTATTGAAGTTGATTATAATCTTCGTCAAAAAAAAAAGAAGTTGATTATACTCTACTGATATTGTTAGTTAGTGTACACTGATATAATGAGATAGAGAAGAAAGAACGAGAAAATGTGAAAGAATGGCGAAGAAGTGGACACGCCACACGCCCTTTTTGGCCTACCAAAAGTTCTGACAACTATACAACATCACCATATGACATATCATATTGTATTATATTCCTTTGTTATTTTTCTATTGGACAAGATATATACAAAGTATTTAACTTCTGTCTATGTTTTACTGCCTCATTTAACTTTTTATGGTCTTTAAAAAAATTCATTTAAAACATATGTAATTCTATTTCTATACGCGTAAAAAATATATACAAAATAAAAAAAAAAAAAAAACTCATTTTTGAAAAAATATGCAATAAGACAAATTTAACAAGATTCAATAACTGACCCAAATAATGGCAAATTGGCAATGGGCGATGTTTGGGGTCCAAATAACTTGTATTTGGGCCTAGTCCATAAATGAAAACAAACTAAATCCCAAAAGGCAAGGTTCAACCTTCAAGCCCATGTGCCAAGTCAAGTCAACAAGGCCCAGTCAAATGGCAGCTCATTTGACTCCTCAAGCCCACTCCATTCAATTGGAGCAAGGTATAAAAGCTCACACTTATGCAAACTTACATTCATTCGCAAATATTGCCTCAAGCAACAAACTCTCTTGCATAGCCTTTTCTCTCATTATTTGACAATTGTACTACTTCGGCATTGGAGGGGTCTTCCTCGGCACAACCCCCGAGGCCAGTTTACGTTTGCTCCGCTGTGCAGGAAATCCCTAATTCGGTCATCATTCGAATTGGGCTTCATCTCCACTCATCCGAAGGACCTGCCGAAGGTCCCACTGTTTTTACTGAAACAATTTGGCGCCGTCTGTGGGGATACTTACAAAAATTCAGCTAAAAATCTCATACCAATCTTAGCCAACGCAAAAAATGGCTAAGAGTGGCAAAAACTCCAAAAAAGCGAAAAAGATGGGCCTAATCACGGTGAGAACCGGTAGGACACCCTCACCGTCGCCTGAACCATATGCCTCTAACTCTCCGATGAGAGAAAATCTACACGAGGGATCATCCTTCCGACGGGTTCACCAAACGGGGAACTCGCCGAAAGATAGCGGCGCTCATGAAGATAGCTCGCCGCAGAGCATGCATTCAACCCCTCCCACCGTTCCTTCAACGGAAGAGGTGGCGAGGGCAGTGGCTGTCTGCATGGAATTTATGAAGGCCCTGGGCGGACGCTTCCTATCCGTGCATACTACTCCTCCTTCACCCCCGCCGAAGCCGGAAAGTCGAAAAAGGAAATTGGCCTCGGGAGGGTAAGGATGGATTCCACTCTCTAAGGGAGAGGGAAGCGGAGGAGCTGAAAGCCTGGCCAAGACAGGACGGGAACGACGAGGAGACTCCGGTCACTTTGAAAATTCCCAAGTCCGAAACTCAAAGGACGTCCCAAGCAGCCACAACGCTTCTCGCCGAAGCGTTTAAGAGCGCCTAGGGGAAAGGGAGAAGGACATTCACAGTCGTTTCACCTATCCCGAAGGCTCTCGCCCAGAACTGTCACGCGAAGGGACACCCCTCATTTCCACCTCTCTAAGAGGGAGAAGTGAGGTTCCTTCGGAAAGGCAGAAGGGAAAAGCTGTGATGGTTCCTACCAGTTCACCTTTCTAGAGGTGGATATTGGAGGAACACGTGCCGACGGTCAAAATTCCGGCACACATCACTTACGACGGTACTTCGGATCCGAAGGATCACATAGCCTCTTACGAGGGGCATATGTACCTTAACCCCAGGTCCGAAGCTACCTGGTACAAATACTTCCCCACAACCCTTAAAGGTGTTGCACAGTCGTGCATCATTAAAGGGCTGAAGGAAGGCTCCGTAACGGGTTGGAATGATCTCTCCAACAAATTCAAAAGCAAGTTTTCTACGGCTAACCGCCGAGAGAAAACAACTGCAGAACTTATGAGTCTGCAATAAGTGGAAGACGAAAGTCTCCGAGATTACTTGACTCGCTTCAGCAACGAGTCGTCCAGAATCACAAGTCTAGACCGGAGCCTAGCCGTATTCGCACTACGGAATGACTTGCAAGCTGGAAAATTTCTGGATTTCATGGTCATGCATCCCCTGCAGACCTTGGAAGAAGCCCTCGATGCTTCGTATAAATTCATCCGAGCCGAGTAATGGAACAAGGCAAAGTCGCAGTCCCAATTAGGGGCTGCGAAGTCAAAAGGCCAACCAGCCGAAGTTCCAGGGTCGAGGAAAGGGAAGGGAAAAGCCTTAGAACCTCCCTCGACCAGAGAGCCGAAGAAGGACAAGGCTCCCTATCTGGGAAAGTTTGAATCTTACACCCCTCTCACCTTACCACGTACTAAGATCTTTAGTGCGACGAGGGAGGAGGGAAGATTCAAAAAACCGAAGCCGCCTCCTTCTCGGCATTAGAAGAAAGGGAAGGATCATTGGTGCGAGTTCCGATCCATGAATCTTGTGGACATTGCACTGAGGATTGCCTTCAGCTGAAGGACCAGATTGAAGAACTGGTCCAGAAAGGGTACTTAAAGAAATATGTCGCGAAGCGCCGCGAAGAAAAGAAAGCTGAAAGAGATTCTCGGCAGGATCTGGATTACCACCGGAAAAGGGACAAACCTCCCGAGGGAGGAAATCATGACATCCTAACCATTTCCGGGGGTATTTCTCGGAATGCGCTGAAGCGCCATCTGAGGGGGCTGACCCATCAGATTCATCTCGCCGAATTCTGAAAGTCACAGTCTTCGGTGCCGAACATGATGTTCACATCCGAGGACTGTAAGGGGGTGGTGTACCCCCATGATGACCCATTGGTTATCATGACGAGCATCGCAAACCACAACGTCTATCGGACACTGGTAGACGGTGGCAGCGGGGCGAACATACTTTTCCGAAAGGCGTTTGACTAACTGAAGTTGGAAAGCAGACACCTAACTCCAGTTCCCTACCCGGTAACTGGATTCAACGGCTCTTCTTCATATCCAGATGGGAAATTTTTTCTTCCCATTAGCCTCGGCTAAGACCGAGCAAGGCGGAGCATCATGGCTGAGTTCTTGGTCATTGATGCCCCATCAGTATACGTCATTATGGGGAGACCCCTCATCCATGAAGTTCAAGGAGTTGTCTCGACATATCATTAAGCAATGATTTACGTTTCAGACGAAGGACGCTCCGAAAAAATCTTGGGCAGCCAAAGGGAGGCCCGAGAATGCAATTTCCTTAAACCATCCAAGAGTCGCCGCAATGACAAGGATGATGAGGAAGAAAAAGAGAAAGAAAAAGAGCGAGGTACCAAAAGACCAAAGGGCCTAAGTGCCTCGGCTCAGGGATCCCCATCCAAAAGAACATCTATGGGGACCGGAAAGTCTAGTTATTCGGCTGGTCCGAAAGACTCAGAGGAAGATCAGCCGAAGTTAGTAAAGTTTGCTGACATCGACAGTAGGCCCGAATCTGAAGAATCTGGCTTCAAGTCTATGGAGCTAGATGAACAAACTGAATCAATATCATTGACTGAAGAAGATACTGAAAAATGAGTTAGTATCAGACAAGGACTCGATCCGAGTTTTCGGGTTGAACTAATCCAACTCCTTCGGGACAACCGAGATGTGTTCGCATTCTCAGCAGCTGACATGCCTGGGATTGATCCGAACCTCATCTCTCACAAGCTTAATGTCGACCCCACATGTCGGCCGGTTAAGCAAAAGAAGCGGAATTACTCTGCTCAAAAGAACCAAGACATCGCAGCCGAAGTCAAAAAACTTCTGGACGCAGGGTTCATCGAGCCTTGCCAATATCCTGAATGGCTGGCGAATGTGGTGATGGTTCAGAAGGCTAATGGCACCTGGAGAATGTGCGTTGACTTCACGGACCTATATAGGGCCTGTCCGAAGGACTTCTATCCCTTGTCGAGAATCGATCAGTTAGTCGACTCGACAAGTGGCCATATGCTCTGCTTAGTTTCATGGACGCATTTTCTGGGTACCATCAAATCTTCATGCACCCCAATGACAGAGCAAAAACGGCATTCATTACAAGTGCCGGGGGTGTATAACTACAAGATGATTCCCTTCGGCTTGAAAAATGCCGGAGCGACGTATCAGAGGTTGGTGGACCAAGTGTTCGCCGAGCAAAAAGGTCGCAATATGGAAGTCTATGTTGACGATTCCATCGTCAAAAGCAAAGAAGCAAAAGACCATGTTGCGGATCTAGCCGAAACGTTCGCCACTCTGAGAAAGCATCAAATGAAGTTGAATCCGAAAAAGTGTGTCTTCGACGTGAAGTCGGGAAAATTCCTCGGCTTCATGGTCAGCAAAAGGGGGATTGATGTCAATCCCGCCAAAGTTCAAGCAGCCCTGGATCTTCCCGAGCCGAAGACAAAGAGGGACGTTCAGCGTCTAGCGGGGAGGATGGCTGCCCTGTCCAGGTTCATCTCAAAAGCCTCAGACAAAGGGTTTCCCTTCTTCAAAGCCCTCAAACTTCCAAAATCTAAAGAGCTCGTATGGGAAGAAGAGCAAAAGATAGCCTTTCAGCAGCTCCGAGAGCACTTGGCTAACCTCCCAACGCTGGCAAGACCAGCCGAAGGAGAAGCTTTGTATTTGTACGTGGCAGTTAGCCCCGCCACAGTAAGTGCGGTGATGATGAGGGAAGCAGAAAAAGGTTCAGCAACCTATCTACTTCGTCAGTCATACTTTGACCGACGCCGAAACACGCTACCCCTTGCTCGAAAAAGTTGCATATGCAGTGGTAGTAGCGGTTCGGAAGTTAAGGCCCTATTTTGACTCACATCAGATAGTGGTCTTGACAGATCAACCGCTGGAAAAAGTCCTCGGCAAGGTGGAAAAGTCAGGAGGACTAACAAAGTGGGCCTTCGAGCTCACTGAGTTCAGTATAAGCTTCCAGCCGAGGGCAGTCATCAAGGCCCAAGCCTTGGCAGATTTCCTAGCCGAGTGCTCCTATCAAGAGACACTCGACGAGGAAAAGAAAATTTGGACCGTTTTCACGGATGGCTCAGCAACCGTGAATGGTTCGGGGGCAGGGGTAGTGATTATCTCTCCCGAAGGTAAAAACTTCGAGTATGCACTAAAATTCTCATTCAAGGTCTCCAACAACGAAGCCGAATATGAAGCAGCAATTGCTGGCTTAGAGTTGTGCATAGCCCTCGAAGCCGAACATGTCCATTTAAAGACTGACTCTCAGCTAGTCGCCAATCAAATCCGAGGCGAATATGAGGCTAAGGAACCCTCCATGATCTCCTATCTCGCCAAAATCAAAAACGTCATGGCGAAGCTGAGAACTTTTGAAGTTGAGCTAATCCCAAGGGGTCAAAATGCTCAAGCCGATGCACTCTCCAAACTTGCAAGTTCATCTCTCACAGAGTTGAACCGATCTGTATTTGTGGAAGTGCGCCGAAATAGAAGCATCGACCAAGAAGCTGAGGTCCTATGTGTCGAGGCTGAACCAAGCTGGATGGACACCATCCTCGCTTATAAACTTCAGGGAGAACTTCCCGAAGACAGAATCTTGGCCGCGAAACTGAAAAGAATCGGCTCAAGGTTCATCGTCTATAATGGGGAACTCCTGAAGAAATCCTTCTCAGCCCCACTGCTGAAATGTGTGGGTCCTACAGATGCAGATTATATCCTTCGGGAGATTCACTTCGGCATATGCGGAAACCACATAGGGGGAAGGACCCTAGCCAACAAAGCATTAAGGGCAGGATACTATTGGCCAACCATGATTTCGGACGCCAAGGAGCTGGTGAGAAAATGTGAAAAATGCCAAAAATTCGCACCAGTCATCCATCGGCCGTCGGGAGACCTTCAGCCGATCTTGAACCCTCTTCCTTTTGCCCAATGGGGATTGGATATTTTGGGACCTTTTCCTGAAGCTCCTTACCAGAAAAAGTGGCTGATAGTCGGCATTGACTATTTCAGCAAATGGATTGAGGCCGAAGCAGCTTCAAACATAACTGAGCAAACTGTCAGGAAATTTATCTGGAAAAATATCATCTCTCGCTTTGGCATCCCGAAAGTATTTGTCTTTGATCATGGAAGACAATTCGACAATCTACCGCTGAAGCGGTACACTGATCAGTTCGAAATAAAATTGGCATATTCGGCAGTCTGTCATACTCAAAGTAATGGCCAAGCCGAAGCCGCAAATAAGAAAATACTCAACGCTCTCAAAAAGAGAGTTGAGGATCAAAAGTCCAAGTGGATAGAGGAACTTCCCGGAACTCTATGGTCACTTCGGACAACCGAGAAAGAGGCGACGGGGCATTCACCTTTCGAATTGGTGTATGGATCTGAAGCTGTCTTACCAGTGGAAATAGGTTCAGAAAGTCTTCGAGTCAACCAGTTCTCAGCCGATGAAAATGGGCATCTCCTGAAAGAGTCCCTTGATTTCCTAGACGAAATCCGAGATTCGGCCAGAGACAGAATGACAGCATACAAAGAATCAGCAAGTTCTATAACCGAAGAGTCCAGGCAAGGCTTCTCAAAGTTGGGGACCTTGTTCTTCGGAATGCTGCTGCTGTCCGGAAAGGCCGCATCCATGGAAAGCTCTCGGCAAACTAGGAAGGGCCTTATGAGATATACGATGAGCTCCAACCAGGAACTTATCGACTTCGGCAATTAGATGGAACTGAACTGAAAAATCACTGGAATGCTGATGTACTTAAGAGATATCATGTGTAAAACCCGTTGTGGGAGAAAAATCTATGTAAGTGCATTTTCTTCAATCAATGAAAGGCCTTTGAGCCACAATTAGTCACAATTTTATTATGTCTTCATTATTTCTGTCTTCATCGTTTTTGAAAAATTCAAGGTTTACACCCGGCGCTGCCCGAAATATTGCATAATGATGCACTGTACTTCGGTAAGCCGAAGAACCTGCCGAAATAGGGGTAACGAATAGAACCTCGAGGTATTGCATAATGATGTACCGTACCTCGGACGGATTTGTTACTCTCGGCAAAGAGGTCATAGGCTCATCTAAGGCATAGCCGAAAATAGGAATTGATAAAAGGTCCGAAGCACTGCATAATGATGCCCTGTGCTTCGACAAGTCAATTTCGGGTGATGATTACACCTTCAAAGTATTGCACAATGATGCCTTGTACTTAGGAAATCATCGCCCTGGCACTGTGTCCCAGATAGTCGTTCCCTCGGATGAATTAAAACCAGGCAGCAGATAAAGAGACAAACATAAGTGTTCAAACTATTAAGTTTCAAAAATGTCGCTAAGTCAAAACCTTCGGCTACGTCGAAAGAATGAGAACAATAAACTCATAACTCTGAAGACCTTATCTTCAAAGTTCTTGGGGGGGGCAAGAGGTACTCACATATCAAGCTCCAAGCCGAAGCTCAATACTCGGGATTTCAAGCAAAAGGAATGAGGAATTAAGGCATTTGAATGAAGGGAAATTCTCAGCCAAACATTTTCAAGCTGAAGCTTTATACTTAGCCAAATTTTGAGGAAAATCAGAAAAAATAGCTAAGTTAAAAGCTATTCAAATAGGCAAAACAAGAAGGAAGAGCTGAAATTCTACTTCATCATTCAAATAAGCATGCAAACAACAGCGTTGATCAGCAGAAACGCTGAGAAAACATTCAAGATCAAAGTTTCAGGAGAAATTTAAAGATCGGCAGCCGCCCACAAAGCGGAAAACACAGCTGCCGAAAGTACACAAAAACTAATTGAAAGTTTGTACAAGGCAGACTGAAGCAAAAACAAAGGCAAAGCAGAAGCGGAGATCATCAATTAGGCGCATGTAGATCCGCAAGACTCAGAAGACGGCTGCCCGAGTTCCTATGCTTCAACATCGTCCTGGGCGCCAGAAGGACCAACTTCTGCTGAAGAAGAAGCAGGACAAATAGCGTCCACTTCCTTAGAAGCCTTCTCAGCCTGACGAACCAGGAAGTCAATTTCAGCCTAACTAGCCTCGTTGATGTAAGGGTTGTTAGGATCCATTGACCAGGCTTCAACCTGATCCTAGTTGAGGTCCGGAGCAGCATGCAGGGCTAAGCGACGAGCTGATTTCCAGCCATTCTCGAACCCTTCGGCATATTCTTCCTCTGTGTAAATGCGGGTCTTGAGAAGCTTCTTCGCATCTTCAAGCTCAGACTTCTGAGCCTCCAGAGCTTCCTTCAGCTTTTGATTGGCAGCGGCCAAGTCACTCTACTTCTTCTCAGCCTCTTCCCGAACCTGAGCAAGCTGGCTCTCGTGGTCAGAAATCAGAAGCCGCTGAGACTCAGCATCCTCTTTCAGCTTCGCCTCAATACGGGCCTTGAATTCGACAATGCTTTCGGCCTCGTACTCCTGGATGAGGGAATGACCCTCCTCCAGCCAAGGGAAGATGGTCTTCTCCAAATTCTAGCAGACTGAGAAGAAGTTAGCTCTCATGTCCTGCATGTTCAGTCTCAGCCCAGACGCCTCCTCTTCGGCCCTAACTTGCTTCAGCTCAGCAAGTTGAGCTCGGGCTTCAGCCGCTTCTGCCTTATTTGCTTTGCTCTGAATCTCGTCATACATTTCCACGGCAAGGAAATGATTGTGCACAGCCTGCAAGACAACAATTGCAGTTTAGCAGCTAGCCGAAGTCCAACACTGAGAAAAAATTTCTCAAAAACAAAATAAAACAGAGAAAAAGAGTAAAGGTTAGATGGTTACCCGCATCAACACCCGCTGGTTCTCCAGAAAGGGGTTCAGCACCCTCTCTAAGGGCTCTACCGCCCCTGCAGCAGCACCCAGCATCCAAGCTCTGTCCCTGTCCAGAGCGAAGAGATTGCTTAGGTTGCCGAAGTAGGCGAGGGCTGAGCCATGCCTGTCCTCAAAAACTGCTCGGGCATGAGCCGGAACAGGAATCATAGGCACTGAGCCGAATCCCATCTCAGCTGACAAAAAAGTTTTGAAAGAGTCCGCAGCTGAGCTGGAAGGGACATCTTTAGGTTTGAGCACTTCAGCTTCAGCTAGCTGAGACTCGTCCTCGTTAGCAGCAAGGCCAGGATCTTCAACCTGGACAACCAACACATCCGCCTCATGCTGAACCTCCTTAAAAAATGGCTCGGCGACATGACGAGGAGGTGAAGAACTAGTTTGCAGCTCGACCACCTCAACTACAACTTCCCGAGACGGGGAAGTGACTTCTGTGGTCGCCTCTTCCTGGACCTCCTCAAGCCGAGGCCTCTTAGCAGGTATCTCAGGCGCCTTGAACTGGCCAGGACAAACCAAGGGTCTCCTTCTCCCACCAGCCATCGGTTCTTTAGGAGCAGGCTCGGGGACAGGGAAGGCTTCGGCTAAATCCTCTCTCTCTACTTCCTCTTCGTCGGACTGAAGCAGAAGAGATAGAAGGGGGCAAATACATGTGTGAGTCAAAAGATTGATAAAATTTCTACAATCGTTCAAGTCCTAACATGCTGAACAAATAAAAGGAGACATGCATCCGAAGATTTATACTCGGCAAAAATTCTTACAAGATAAGAAATTTGGGTATAACATGCATACTTAAGCTGAAGCTACACACTCAGAAAAATTGTAGAATTTCTTATGAAATAAAGTAGCTAAAGATTTGCACTTAAAGCAATTTCTTGCAAATTGAAAGAGCAGCAGAAAACTAACCAAAGTATCTAACAAATACTCGTCGTTGTGGGCTTCTTCCTTATTTTCCTCTCTTTCTGGCTCAGCAGCTGAGACAGAGGGCTCTGCTTCGGGTGGCGGAGCAGAAGCAGCTTCAGCAGCAGCAACTTCTTCAGCCAAGTGAAGGAAGAAGGGGTCAATCTTCTGGTGCCAGGCCTTCTGCCTCTGATACTCTAAGGTGCTGACAATTTGAAGTTTCCTCGGCTGGAGGGCAGGGGGCCGATCTTTAATCTCTGTGATCTTCGGCGTATTGGTGAGTGGTTCCCTTTCGTCACTTATCCCGAGTACTTCGTAATCAATGCTCGAGTTCGCTTCGTACAACTCTGAAAAGTTAAAGAAAACGAAGATGACTTCAGCTGAAAAAAGTTAAGTTCATAAGTCAGCAAGCAACAAAAAGGATAAAAGCATAAAAAGACTTCGGCCCCAGCCGAATTCCCCTTACCGCCTCGGTATCTTCGGCTGAGGCCGACGACAACGAGCATCTTCTCCTAGAAGATGTAATGAAAACAGGGCAGCTAGGTGCTTGGCACGTTGGCCATTCGTCCAGTAACAGTCATCTTATTTCGGCCAAACAACTCCATTTGGCGATGATCAAGGTCATTGAATTCATCGGGGCCGATGCTGGACATTTCGGGGTCTGGTTTTCTCAGATATTGGGGAGCCCCGAAATAGTTCGGATGAGCTTCATCCGAGGGTGCTCGGATCCAGATCCATTGCCCTCTCCAATTTTTATCCGAAGTATCGTTCGGATAAGACGTGAGAAATCCCTTCTCATCCTCTATCTGCCACCACCCGGGGCCATGCCATCGGCTAGATTGGGTGTTCGACGCAAGTTTGTGAATGCACCGAAAACATTGAACACTCGACTCAAATCCACAAAATAAACAGACCCAAAAATAGGTCATGATCCTTCTGACACTCAAAGGGGTCAGCTGAGATAAGGATATGTTGTATCCGTTCAGCAATTTGATGACGAAAGAGTGGACAGGAAATCGAAGCCCATTTTGCAATTGCCGGGTGTAGACCCTGATATACCCAGGTGGGGGCCGATGAATCCTGTCATCGGCACCAGGCATTCTGCACCAGTACCCATCCTCTTCCATGATGCCGTAATATATCTCGAGTTGTTCGGCAAAATGGTACTGGGCATCATTCTCGATCCACCAAGAATAGGGCGCAGCATTCATAATGCCCTTGTTATCCTTGATCGAGGTCCAATCCCGTTCTTTAGGAGTCAACGACCTGGATGCCGAAGCCACGTTTCGGCCAGAGGTACTGGCCTCAGCAGAATCTCTGGGTGGACGACTGGACAAAGGCACTACCCTCAAGCCAGCGCCACTCGAGGTACCGGCTGGCGCAACCCTAGCGTTAGGGTTCTGGCCGCTGAGAGGTGGCATCATCGCTATAGGGCGTTTCTGCCTCAGAATTAGCTGCAACACCTCTTCATCTTCCTCCTCGGCACTCGACTCGGGCCTGACGGGTTCTTTCCCACGGTCGCCGGCCATTTTTCAGTTGGAGGGAAGTTCGAAATGTGCGAAAAAAGGGAAAAGGAAAGATATTTCAAAAGCAAAGAAATCCGAAGCAAATTGCTAGAAAATTACCTTCTTCAAACTCGGAATTCGCCGATCTTCAAACTCGGAGAATCGGATTTTGAGTTTGGGGCTTCGGATTGCAAGAAAACAGTGAAAGAAAAGTTAAGGCGCTGCGCGTATCTGGGAGACAATTGAATTTTGAGTGGCGAAGTGAAGATTGGAATTCGAAGCACTCTTAAAAATGTTCTGGGATTTAGCTTCTGGAATTAAAGAGGCATTAACCACCCACTAAACACTATTTCAATTCGTGGCTACTCAAATTCTTCCCACTTAATTGCAACCGCCAAATTAACTTCCCATTAAATTCTTTCCACTTCCCCATTACTCTTAATTAACTGTCATTAAGGTTAGTTAAAGTGTAATTAACGGTTATAAACCATACAAATTCCTCAAACAAAATTCAAATTATTTTCATTTATTTCCCTCCAAATCTCTCGGCAGCTGAAAACCCGACCCGTGATCCTCACGAATCGGGTGTGGGGGGGCAAGTTGTTTGGGGTCCAAATAACTTGTATTTGGGCCCAGTCCATAAATGAAAACTAAGTAAAGCCTAAAAGGCAAGATTCAACCCTCAAGCCCATGTGCCAAGTCAAGTCAACGAGGCCCAGTCAAATGGCAGCCCATTTGACTCCTCAAGCCCACTCCATTCAATTAGAGCAAGGTATAAAAGCTCACACTTATCAACTTATGCAAACTTACATTCATTCACAAATATTGCCTCAAGCAACAAACTCTCTTGCATAGCTTTTCTCTCATTACTTGACAATCGTACTGACTTCGGCATCGGAGGAGCCTTTTTCGACACAACCCCCGAGGCCAGTTTACGTTTGCTCCGCTGTGCAGGAAATCCCCAATTCGGTCATCATTCGAATTGGGCTTCATCTCCACTCATCCGAAAGACCTGCCGAAGGTCCCATTGTTTTTACCGAAACAGGCGAAAAAATAACAGAGAGACTAGTTCTTTGTATGGAGTTAATGAAAAAATCATATGTTTCCAAGAAGTCAAAATTGTGTTTTTCTATGTAATCTGTTCTGTGTGTAATCTGCCATAGGTTCTTCTGCTACGTCCAATGTACAGTACTCATTTAAACTTTACAAAAAAAAAAAAAAAAAAAAAAAAAAAAAAAACAAAAAACAAATTTAAGCACTTTGGAGTTTGGACACAAGTACAGTACTTCTCTTCGAGATGGAACTTGATTTGTTTCCTGAAATAACAGATATGAAATACTGTAGATCCCTCCAAGCAGATACCGAGTATGTTATAGACATTAAAGAATTTAATATTTTTTTTTTTTTTAAAAAAAAAAGGTTCTGATACTCAATAACACTATTTAACCCGTACATATAATTCTGTATAATAAATTAATTTTGCTTCAAATACACTGAAAATAAAAGACCCTAATAAGCTAATATAAATAAAAACCAATCCCATAATCAAAGATTAAAAATCCTTATTACCCATCATATGTAATCATAATGGACCAATTCGGAAGATGGATGCTCCATCTGCTAGTATTTAATCATAATGGACCAGTTTGGAAGATGGATTCTCCATCTGATGCATGAGCGCAAGGTCATGCCTCGAAGGTCCATAACTGAATTACATTACACTCCCTAATGCAGTAGTTTACTATGGATAACAATTCTATACTAATGTGTAGCCATAATTTATCCATCTATTTCAGTAGGGTCTTGATATGTACCAAACCCAATCAAAGCCATTCTATCGATCAACTCGGAGAATGTTGTTCTGGACACCGCCTTTAATGGTCGATTCTCTTTCAGGATCGATTTTCCAATGCCCATCAACAATAAATTTCATCTGCAAATTGTTATGGAGTCACAAAACCTAGCTCAGTAAGCTCATATGAGGGACAGGGTGGGTTTGATGCAATCGTGTGTTCTTGTTGCACTAGAAAAATTACAAGATGGTAGAATGTCTTATTACCTCGTACACTCCAGGATATAGCCACAAGGATGTTGACCAGTACCTAGATTTCCTGTCAACATTTATCGTCATGGTTAGCTTTTTGATGGTTCACATTGAGAAGAAAAAAAACAAGTTCAACGGCATGGTTTATAGTTAAGAAATATACAAGTAAAAAGGACCGAAAATAGCTAGAAAGCATCAACCTATACTAGTGGACTAATTCACAATAAGAAGCATTGGCGAATAACAGTATAATACTTGCAGACAAAAAACCTCAAAATGTTTCAAGTTTCGTCAGAGCATGATAATATAACCATTGCAAAGGCAATAGCCAGGTCCAAAAACCTCAGTAAGCTGAGCACATAAAGAGTTGCAAAATATCAATTAATTACCAGTTGTAACAGTGCACATTAAACAATAATCCCTCTTTTTTAGGTTTTTCCACTTTGACTAGCACATTTGCCAACACATAACTCTTATTCTCTCAATTAATAAATTATAAACAAGTTTTGAAAACAAATCCAAATCATTTTACATGTTACTCCATAATATATATTTTTTTAATTTATTGGTAAGAAATATGATCAAAGTGAGTTTTGTGATAAGTGTCAAATCATCAATAGTAGTGGAACTAAAAAAAACGAATTGATTATAATAATAGCATCATCAAAACCTAGTAACAGAGACATCTAGTCCAAGTCCTAACATCAAAATAGCTTCTTCCAAATTAAGAAAACATAGTTCTATTTTTCTACCAATAAAAATTATACTTTGTACTTACGAAAGTTGTTCAGCCAACACCAATTTACACTTGACAGATAAAACTTGTCTTCACAATCCAATATTATTTCTATGATATAGGCTAACTATTGATGGGTCTGTCAGATCACAACCTAATTCCAACAAGAGCACCACCCAAAGAAGCCACACCTTGCAAGTTCTTGGCAGCGGGGAAGTATGATGTTGGTGGTCTTCTCTTAATCGGTTAAAATATAAACCATTAGACTCACTTTAGCCAATATAGCAATTTCACTACGGTGCAACTCCAAATCTCCAACTAAAAAGGTCATTCCAACAGTTGCCACAGTAGCTCTCAAATATAATATATCTTCAGAAATTGAAGAATATTGAGACTTACTACGTACATGCACAAGATAAGAATAATTCCCATGGCAAAAAGGACTAGGAACCATGCCCCCAGCCAGCTAAGAACATAAAACAAGAAAAAGAAAAAGAGGATTTCAAATTATTGCAAAAAAGACTCATCATGGTTATATTAAGACCTTGATCCAACAGGGTCCTCTATAGCAGATGATGGTTGTGGATCCATTTTAATTCTTTGATGCCACCCATTGAAACTACCAGCTACCTCTACCACTTGCCCTTCTCCTGAGTACTCAATCTTTGCCTGATACATCAAATAGTACCAATTTATCAAACTGACATTAAATTTAGATTAAAACAAACCATATCATCAAAAGAAAATGAAAAGGCAAATTATATTCAATCTATGCTTCTGAATGAACAATTTGACAAATCAGAATAAAGTTTTACAATGACAGTAATTAAGTAAGGGAACACATTAAAAAGTAAGGGAACACATCAAACTGTTATTATTAAAAAAAATACCCCAACTGAAAGGACATTGCTAATTTAAGGTCAATGTGGAAGAAAATTGTATCAGAAATGGGTCACCTCCATAAGACCAGAAAGGCTCTCTTCTGCAGCATTGAGCTCTGCATCCTTGTCTGATAAAAGCTTTTGAGCTTTGATAATCTCATTTTCAGCTTTTGTTTGCAAAATTGACAGCGCTTGCTGAAAAAGTTCCAAATGAGAAGTTAAATGGGGAAGGAAGATAGTATAAATTAGAATAGACATCTATCAGTAGCCGATCAAAGAAAGGAGAAAGGATATATAAATGCAAAATACCACTTGACAGCTTAGGCTTTTGGCAACTAAAGCAGTTTCCAAACTTTGAAAATGAAAAAAGAAGAAAAAGAACAAATAAAAAAAGTGTATACTATATACTGATTGAGTAGATATGGTGAGGCTTCATTTGGAGGACACTACCTTTTCCTTCTCAATCTCTTCTTTCAGCTGAGATAACTCCAACTCTTTTTGATGCTGCGTATAACACAGGTAGAATAAGGAATAGCAAGTGGAGTGGGGGGGGGGGGGGGGGGGGGGTTGGGAATAAAGGAACAATTTAAATAATTGACAAATACATGGATGTAATTTTCAACATTAGAAACACAAATGAGTATTTCCAAAAGGTAAAATCAGGCTAATAATTACCAGCATGTGTTTGAGACGACTGATCTCAACTTCATTATCCTTTTTGCCAGCCTGTATGGTGCATAGCGGAAAAAAACGGTAACTATTACAACAAAAACAAAATAAAATTAAAACCAGTAGAATGATTCCAAAAAAGAAAATGGAATTAACCTCAATGTGTACATCGTCATCCAAATCAGTGTTTTGTGGCCCTTGGACAGATGAATAAAAATCCCTACAAAGTCAAAGGGAATATTCTAGATGAGTCATTAGTGTCCATTAAAAGACCATAAAAGTGCGATGGGCATTCAGTAGAGACAAAGACACAGTAGAGAAAAACATGCTTTAGTTTCTCTTCTGGATCTTAGTTTTGCATTACAAAGTAGGATGGGAACATCATAAATTTGTCATTGGCATTTCTTAACAACCCTAACAGAGCACTAGCCATTTAGTAGAGATGAAGGCAACCTGTAATCCAAAGCATTGTTTCACTTTCTACGTCTTAGTTTAACATTAAAAGAGGGTAGGAAGGAGAAATCATAAACATTTCATTGTTGTCCCCTTAAAAATAACATTTTAAGTTCAAAAGAAACTTCGTACAGATACACATCGAAATGCAATAACCTAGGCTATACCACTTGTTTCCAATATTAGCATGATGCATGAATCACATTTTCACTTTGTCAAAAGTGAATCAAGGAAACAGATCACATGCTTAAGAAAGTCAGCTAGTATATGAGATTCTAGAATCATCAAACCCCTAGTCCAGAACATAGTTGTGTAATCCTAATTAGCTCACTATGGAAACAATATTATCGCCTTAAGTCCTTCACACCCACAGTATGGATCATCTATATCAATCAAGATGTCACCTCAAAGAATCCTTCTCTACTCAATCTGTCCAATATGAATGGATTATGAATTTATGATCCAGGAGACCCAATCTTTTATGCCCTTTTCTATCCTAATCATTGGCTTACCTCGAAAAATGTTACCAGATATTACCTCCTAGTCTGCTTATATATAATCATCTACAAAAAAACCTACACCATGGCACCTCACCTTTTATAAACTTTGCAAAGTTTTTCATAACCTGTAAAGAGAGAAAATATCTGATGCAGATCCTTGATGTAACCCAATTACCCAATATCAACGGAAAATACTCTAACATTTGCAATTTATTCTTGCTTCATTACACCTTGGAAACCATATCTCACAATTATAAGATATTATCTACAGCATTTATAAACTCTAACCTAAAACTAAAATTTGTTGTGGGTGGGTGGGGGGCAGACCCTTAATTTATACTAAAAGCCAGTTGAATGCGATAGATATGCCTAGATGCATTCAAAGAACCTCGTATGTTCAAATGGAAGTACAAGGACGTTAGACACCACTAGTTAAATTCATTAAGAGATATTAATAGGCTCTACAGTAGTTCACTATTCAAGCTTTTCATACTAGTCCCAGAAAATTTTCAAAATCTATTCTAAAAGCCAGTTGAATGCGATAGCTACAAATATACATGCTAAGCAACAATACAACTACAATAGTTAACAGAAACAAAAATTCTCAAAAAGACTCTATGGCAACAACATTTAAAAAAAAAATGCAAAATCTAGTGACCCAATAACAAATAGAATAGGAGAGGGAGACATTAGAGAAACAAGAGCACCTTTTATTTTTGTCCTCCAATGATGGAAAAGTCAATTTTTTTAGCAATAGGGTGCCATTTTGTCCAACATTACTGTTGCTTACATGGTCCAAATGTCTCATATCCCCTTCACTATGGTTCACCAGTTCACCTTCAACTAAACTCTGACCATGATATGAATTGCTGCTGCCATCATTCACTTTTAAATTGACATACATATCATCTGATCAGAAATAATGGGGATATAGGTTAAATGTTAATATTTAAATGAAGCAAAAACATCAAGATGATGACTGGTGTAGAATATACCCTTTATAGATAAGGCCTTGCTTTTAAAGAAATTAAATTCAAGAAATGATATTTAGTGAAGTATGCTTTACAAAATTATAGCCTAATGTAAAATTTAGTATTTTACACGTGCCTGTGTGTAACCCATATGGTCAAACATACTTTGAAGGAGCGTTATTTTAGTTTTCATTGGAAACGAATTACTGGAAAATAAGTGGGGATTAAAAATCTGTGATGATATTAAAGTTTCATCTGATAGTACAGGCTATACAATTACATGTATCTGGCTTTACCTTCAACTGCATCTAATTGTCCATATTTCATAAAATTTTCCACCTTATCCTGCAAGGACATTAGGTGTTTTTCGGATACAGAACTTTCATCATTAGAAATGAAAGATGATTCCCAATGTGTCACCAAGCTAGTTCCAGTAGTAGAATCATCATCCACCAAAGGAATATCTTTAGGCTCTTCAGCTGTATCATCCAGCTTCTCCTCCTGACCTTTTAAATGGGATAAAGCAATCAATAAAGAATTTGGATGGTATGCATTGTAAAAATCAGACTCAATAAACGAAGCTACCAAATTGACCTGTTTTCTCATGGTCACTATTTTCATTGGAATCAATATTTATGTCTTTGAAAGAATCAAATCCATCGGTTGCTATATTGGGAGAGTTAGTGAGAAGCTCTTTAACAAGTTTGTGCCCTCTCCTTCGAACGATGTTTGCAAGATCTTTCCTGCAAATTTAAAGATGTAGACAAAAATAAATATCACCATCTAAGTATACACAATTGCATACATTCTCTCTTACAAATAAAATGTAGAATGCACAGTGGAGCATGGGGAACATAATGGAAAATGTGATTTACATCTCACAAGGCTTTAAATAGGCAGCTAAGCACGTGGAGAGGTGAAGCCAACTTGGATGGGAGGAGCTCCCCAAGATGTGAATCATGTGATTATTGAGCCAGCACGTGGCCAACCCTAGTCTCTACATTCAAAAAACAAAAGACTTGGCTGTGAATTTCAACTAAGTGTCATGAACAAGCCAAGAGACTTCTGAAATTAAGGAAGAAGTACACTAATCAATTAAATTTGGGGATACAATCCACTAATCAATTGAATTTGGGCATACAATCTAAGGATAAATGCTACTCGTAAATTGAAGAATATTCTTATTATCCTCCCAATTGATTAAATGCTTTTGGACAAATATTTCAATGGATAACCATGCATCTGTAAGAAGTAACGAGACAACCCAGCTTTCAACAACAAAAACTTCTATACTGAAATCATTAACTAGCACATAACAATAACATACTAATACATTCTAGAGTAGAAGTGGTCAAAAATCTGATCCGGTAGAGATCTGATTGATCCATTAAGAAATTTAGGAGATCTAATTTGGTTTTTTGTGTTTAAGATGCTATGAATTTGATCAGAATTTTGATATTCAGTTATTTTGGATTGGATATCCAATTATTTTCGATGTATTTTCCTTAATCCGAAAATTTTGATTGTCCAATACTCCATTTTTTTAAGTGCATTGGTTTAACCGGCACGTAGTTTTTGGAAGGTGAGTTGAACTGAGTAAAATATTGTGAAGTGTGGTTTGTTAGGGAATTAAAAATTATAGAAAAGAGATAGTAGGGTAATAGATTATTAAAGAGTAAGGGATGTGAGGAGATAAATGATAAAAATTATAAAAAAGAGATAGTAGGGTAAGAGGGATGTGAGGAAAATAACAATAAAGAGGGGGGGGGGGGTAAGAGGCCATTTGAGGAGATAGATATAATTAAAAAAAAATAAAAAGGTAATGCCCTTAAAAATCGACTGATTTAGGAAAGTTGTGCACCTTTTTTTTTAAAAAAATAAAACAAGTATTTCGGATCAAATTGGATTGGATATCCCATCACTAAATCTATAATATTACATTCCATTGAAGGTTTATTATCATTATTAGTAATACGTCATCACTCAATAGGAAGTAGATCTTATCAAATGAATAAGAACATATGCAAGTCAACTTTTGTAAACTTTTAGGTTAGGCCTTGCTCCTATCATTGCAATAGGATACTCCTTAAATGGCAAAGTGGCAATATCATATTGTTGCCAAAAAACCCCTAAATATTAAAAGAAATAACTTCGAGATATTTGTTACCTTTCATTCAACTGTATAGGATGTACTTTCTAATTTAATCCTTATCACTAAAAAAAAAATCTTGGCTTGTGGTAGAAGAAGATGAAAGATGGTGAAAAAAAAGAAATTAGAGATCCCCTTACAAGCATTCTTACTATCATTCTTGGATCATGTTGTATGAAGTGATTTAGGGATAGAGATAAAGCCTATAAAGGGGTGCCCATGTCTGCTACGGGTACGTGCCCAATTCTACTTTGTGAAAATTTAGAAAATTTTGAACTAGAATGAAGTGTCTAAGTGTCCTACCCATGCCCAAGTGTCCAAAGTCCGACACGTGTACTTGAGAATGAATGATGAGCTAAAGTAACACAGTTGTAAATTACTCCACAGGTTGTTTGGTTTGAGGATAATGGTAAATATTTCCCATATTTGAGGGTTATTAATTCCATACTACCCTTTCCAACGATATTAAATCAGGTCACCCTCGCTAATCTCTCCTCCTCTATCTCTCTGTCTCATTTGATTCCATTCCATTCTATTCTATCGTATACCAAACAATCACATAAAAGTGATAATTTTCATTACCCTTTCCCTCTCTAATTGATTCAATTTCCTCAAACCATACCAAATGCACCCTAAACCTCAACTTACTCATCAGCTTCATCAAATCAGTACCATCTCATCTAAGCATGCACTATGGAAATATAACATTCAAACACTGACAAAGCATTTCCAACCCCAAAAGATGAATACAAGCAACACTAAAGTTGTTCATCGAATGCTCCAACACAATTGAACCTAGATAAGTAATTAACTACACTTAACTCATTAAGCATTCAATTTTCAGAAAATGTGAATTACGGAGTAACATCTATCCACTGTATTCCCCCATTACCCCCCCCCCCACCACACACACACACAGGCCCCCTAGCTCGCGCAAGTGAAATATTGCCTTAATTTCAAAAATTGATACACTGAAAAACAACATAACAATTCAGCTTAATAATTCTCAGCAAAAATTCCATCTTCAAAAGATCAATATCATTCCATGTCATAATTTACATTCAATTATCACACAATTAAATCACAGAATTTAACCCATTTCAATAAATTGAACACAATCCAAAAACACAATTAAATATTCTTCAAAAAAATAAAAATACAATTAAATATCAGAAATTCAATGAAAATTCCAGAACCTTCCATGATGCGAAAGCTCCTTAACAGAAGGAACATGACCCTCAGGCAATCCAACAGAAGCAACGAATTCCCGAAGAACATTGCGGAGTTCATCATCACTCATAAGCTTCCTACTCGGCCTGCAACTCAATTCAAATTTTCATAAAAACCTCCACAAAAATTTTACAAATAAATTAAAAATTGATGATTGAAAGACGAAGAATTATACCTAGATTTCTTGGTAGATGGGATGGAAGCAAGACAAGCGACAGAAAATTGGGAATTGCAGGAGCGTCGATTTGAATGGAAGCAAGAATGATGATGGTAGAAGAAGGAAAAGGAAGTGGAAGCAGTAGTAGTAGTTTGGGAGTGATAGTGAGAGGGTAGAGAGAGAAAGTGAGGCGGGAAGCCGGAGATGGCTGCCATTTCCAGGAGTAGGAGAGAGAAAGTTTGTCCACCTCTTCGATTTCAACTACACCTTTGCACCTAATCAAGGTACGGCAATTCTGTTCACCTTATTTTTCGTTTGTCTCGTAAAATAGGTAGCGGTATGTGTTTTTTCTAACGAAAATTTAACGTAAATAATTCGACCTTTTTACATTCTCTTCTGTGCTTGTTTAGTTAGATGTATAAAGTAGAAACTATCATGGAAAATCTTAATGGCTATGGCGGTTCGATGCTATGCAGTTGTCTAGAAAGGAGGCTTGGTTACAACCATGTTGAGGCGGAGAGTGATGCACTGAATGTCAATTCATGTTGTGAAGAAGGGCGAGAGTGGTTTGACTGTTACGCATTTAGTTTATGATGATAATAGAAATGATAGCTTGCTTTTTGATTATTGTACGTTTGCTCATATTTAGAGATCTTGTAATATGGTCGCTCACCTAGTGGCAAGGTAGGAAACTAATGTAAACTCTGAGCTTGTACGTTTAGGTCCGTTCCCCCAAAGCACTATTGATTTGGCGGATATGGATATTTCTTAATTGCTTAATAATATGACTGCTATCATTTCTTTAAAAAAAAAAGAAAAAAATTCTTAATACCCATGAAATTGTAATTTCTAGGAATTGCCAAAACTTGTTTGATTATATGTAGAGGTTAGTTCCACTTACCTAGAAGGAATTAGGTAAATTAATTTCTCCATTTTGTAGGAAGTAGAATTAGGAAGTCTCACTTCCTACATTATTGTCAACCAAACAAATACACATATATTCAATTTCTAGCAAAATAAATTTCCCATGAATTTGTTTGTCGACCAAACAACCATTTAATAAACCAACATTTAAATTATTTTTTAATAAACCAACCTTAACCTCCCCCCATCCCATTTAATTCTATTAAACCTTTTTCACTTGAACCGGCTAAATGGGTGAATATTGTTGACGTGAAAAACATTATTAAATTGTTTATGATTTACTCCTAAATTTTTTTAGTTAATGTTGACTGGGATTAAATTTCCCTTCCTAAGATAAAATCGCCTCATTTAATGCTAAACTACTTATGTGGAATCACGAAAATATGCCCACATTTCATTCTTCTTTCCTGCATGGCCGTTTGTTCTTCTTCCTATTTCTCCATTACTAACCATAACTTCCAGCAATTAAAGGAAAGTAATTAGGCTATTTGACTTTATTAGATTCAGAGGAGCTGAGGGAGACAACATCGGAGCAATCAACTCTAAGTCCTTGATATGAATGCCAACATGCATTTGCATGCAAATATCTAAGTCCTTGAACAACTCTCTTAATGCCACAATTACTACATCACAAAAGAAAAATTCATTCAAACAACATAAAATGCTTCATACAAGCCTTGAAAAAATTAGATTACACTTGCAAGAAATACAAATTAAAAAAAAAAACCTGAATGGGGCATTATAGCCAACAACTATTTGATTCTCGAACAATCAACTCCGCTATATGTGGTTGGAGTCACAAATTGACAATATTTAAAGGTAGCATGAGATTGTAATAGAGGATACACTTATCAAAGCGTCTCTAGCAAATGAATTATATCATTAGTAGTATTTGGGGTATATCCCTCACAGCTAGAATTAGATTCATCTTTAGTGGAATTAGGGGCATATCCCTCCACATTTTCCCCCTCATTTCCCTCACAAAATAGAGCATATGCGCAATGTTACTTATGCATGAAAAACAAGGTAAATGACACAAATTATCCCATAAAAATAGACAAACTACCATACCTTATCAGATACAAGTCTAAATATTTCTCGGGCGGATGGATGCAAGTGAAGCTCCACCCAATCCGAATCAGGTGAAGCTTCCCTTACTAAGAGGCATGTTCCCTATTGTTAATAGGGGGACATTCCCAGTCTTGCATTGTCAACTTCCCTTACTAAGAGGCCCTAGCCGCCCGAGTGTTGCCTTTATAATCTCCTTGTACGGCAGACGTTTGACAACATCAAAGCGGACTAGTACTCAAACAAGAGAACTAACAATGCTCATGGTCGAGGAAAGAGGTTCTGATAGCCATAATGAGTAATATACTTATGACGATTGTTAAATATCTTAAAGTATTCTCATAGGTCGATCCGATATAGTTCCAAAACAATACATGTGACAATGATTTATGACATTCTTGTCCTTGTAGCGATAGAAACGGTGCTATAAATCATACTACACACTAATCTCATGCAGTCATTAGTCGTCCAACTTTCGAATGACCTTGATCAGGGATAAGTTTCTATATGACATTCAATGTTCACTTAATAGGTATTTCTTTATCCAAGACTTGTCTTGATACCCTATTTTGAATGTCGTCAAATCGAATGGACTCATTATTTATTTCTAACTACAATTAAATAGTTTGTGGAATAATTAGTAAAATTTTATTCCACTATGAAACTTTCAAACGATTCATCTTATGATAAATGGTTATCCCAAATGTTTTAAGAGTAATACTCTTAACAAAACATTTATAGAAATCACACACATATCTAATATGCTTGATTTCTTTCATGCAATTGTGAATGTTGTGGTTCACTTATTGCATAGGTTTTAGTTACGATTACTTTGCAAATCTTAGCATCTTCATTATCGAACACTTTCATTATAAGATAATAAAATTCGAGTGTGTAATGGATTATATGTGATATAGGATTTATTGTCCAAGTGATGGCTCCCACACATTTTTCATGATTTGAGATCTTCAACTTGACAACCTACAATCATCAAAGTTCAACAACGAACTATGCATTTAACATCTTCCTTATTATTGCCTCTAAGGCAGCAATGTTCTCAACATATACTTTAGTAGATTTCCTAATGCTGCTTTGTTTCGATTTTACTCCAACTGGCTCATAATGATTTGGATACCCTAATCATTTGTGATTATGGAAATTTACCTTTCCGCACAATATACATGGACATAACTTCATGTTGCCATTCTTAAGCCACAACGTGTCTTAACCTCGTGCTTATAAATGGCTTCCTCATCAAGGATCTAATCCTTGCCGAGGTTGTGCTTGCAACATCAATACTCAAATTTTATTTGTTTCCATGCATCAAGAACTCATCCTTTTACTTAACCAAGAACTTAGGACGTTCTTGATCATAATCTAAAGATCCATTGGTTAGATTCAAGTCGATTGGTATTTTATACTTGTCATGCTCTAAGCATGCAGGTCATGTGACGATTTCATATCATAGCATACATGCTGGATCTAATTGCAAAATTATTCCAATTTGATCCCATTCATGTGACTTTTAGCTCATCCAGTTTCACTGAGTCTTGCTAAACTGTTTGCTATATGATACAGTTGAAAGTCTCTACTAGAGTCTTTCTTGTTTGACTTAGTATTTTCCTTACTTATACTTAGTTCAAACATTTACTTAGTTTTGTACATATGGGTTGAAAACTTTTCAATTCCTTCATGTTTAACACGGTAAATTCCTTTACTCGTTCAAACATTTTATTAAGTCTATCCAATAGATCTTAATTCCCACTATGTAATAAGTATCGCCTTACCTTGGTCCATTGCCGAAAATACTTTCAAATAAATCTAAGCATTTAGCATTTGATAGTCATTTCACAACAGAGTTCATAAACTTCTTGTTGGATCATTACAAAATTGACTTTTGCTCCCACTAAACTTCTTATTTATAAGAATTTCTATGTTTATCCATAAGCCAAACCTTTTTTTAACTTTATGAGAAAACACATTCTAGTTCCTACATGCAATGCTTCTCTTAATCCACCAATGGATTTCTTGAGCTTGCTTTTAAATCTAGCATTATTTAGATTTACAAAACCCTTAGACTATATCCACAGTTTTTTTCCAAAATCCCATTTTTAGGAAGGCGGTTGCGATATCTATTTTTCCATATTTCATATGCGCAATTTTGCTAGAATAATCACGAAAAGACTTAAGCATTCCGATTAGTGAATAGGTTTTATTAAATCAACGCCGTGAATTTAATTGTAATTTTTTCAACCAATCTAGCTATGTATGCATATACATTTCATATTTGTTAGTTTTCTCCTTGAAAACTTATTTGCATTTGATGGGTCTTTACCCTTCATGCAAATTAATCAAGTTTCAAACATGATTTTCAAACATGGAGTCTGTTTCGGATTTTTATGGCCTCTAACCATTATTCGGAATTTGGATTTATCGTAGCTAATTTACAAGACACTATTCCCTTAACATCCAATAGTAAATAGTATGCTTGTAAGTCTTAGGTTTATTTCTAACTTAATAGAAACTTTACAGGATTCGATCCAAGTCTTTTGGTAAATTCAATACCCATACGGGGTAATTGCAATAAACACTGAGTCTCAAGGCGCTTTTAAAGCCCTTTGATTATATTGATCTTAATCCCACAATTTTAAAGTTTTTACGAGTAATGAATTCTCTTATAAGGCACTTGTAAAGTCCTTTGAGTATTCTTGATAAATCATTCTCATGAAGCCATTCTAAGGTCTTCCGAGATTCTCATTTCTAGTTTGTTGCTAATATCGATGGTTATCGTTCATTTTCTTCCCACTTGAATGCTTACAAAGAGACATGTATATTGTCTTTGGGTAAAAGTTCGTTGTGAAACAAGCAGTTAGCTCCCACTCGAGCTACCTTAGCCCTTATTGAGCCAATTAGCTCCCACTGAGCCAATGAACTCCCACTGAGCTAAGAGCCCTAGACATATACTTGAAAGACGCTAGCCCTAGACATATACTTGAAAGACGCTAGAAATTATTTCTATCCATAACTAAATATGGTGTCCTTTCCTAGCTTCGACAATTTTGTTTAGTGTAACACTAGTCATTTGTGCAAATCTTTAAGAACTTTATAGGAAGGGATGTGATCCATCATCATTCGAGTCATTTCCAAATGGAATCAAGGTCTCCGTCAAGACATACTATATTCTTTGTGGAGCTAATTATGAATTTCCAATATCATAACCTTGATATGATCACTCTTGGCTCAAGAAAACATCGCTCGATCTAATCTAGACATTTTGATATCTTACCAAGTCGATTCTATACTTCACTGAACATTTGAGCTATTCAAGATCCAGTTTGTTTACATTTGATGAATATAGCCATATTCTTTCAAATTCTTGTGAAAATGTTGAAGTAATGGAATTCTCTTTAGCTTTCGGAGTCAATTGTCTACACCAAGCACAATAGCTCCTTTCTTTGTCGATTTCAACAAGTAAGACTTGCTTGCCTTAGAACAATTCCAAATTGATTAATTTTCAAGAGTCTATCTAATAAAGCCTTGAGTATTTTCTTGTTGATGTGACATTGCTAAAGATAGA